CCGCCGCCCCCTCCGCCCCCCAGCCTAACCCGCGTCCTCTCTTCTCTCCGTGTAGGTGAGCGCTGCTGGGGAGGACTGCGAGGCCTCGCCGCCCAGCTCCGGGCTCTAGGGGGCACCGCGCAGCCCCCCCTTGCCTGGACAATGCCGATCCTGAAGCAGCTCGTCTCCAACACAGCCCACTCCAAGCGGCGCTCGCGGGCCGACCTGACGGCCGAGATGATCAGCGCCCCGCTGGGCGACTTCCGCCACACCATGCACGTGGGCCGCGCGGGGGACGCTTTCGGGGACACCTCCTTCCTCAACAGCAAGGCCGGCGAGCCGGAGCCCCCCGCGGAGTCGGGCTCCTCCAAGCCCGGCTTGTTGTCCGCCCGCAGCCGGTCACCCGCGGCGACCGGCGGGACATGCTGGGCTCCCTGAGGGACTCGGCCATCTTCGTGAAGAACGCCGTCTCCCTGCCTCAGCTCAACGAGAAGGAGGCGGACAAAAGCGCCGGGAAGCTGCCCAAGAGCCTCTCCTCCAGCCCCGTGAAGAAAGCCCCGGAGGAGGCGGCGGCCCCGGAGCAGACGCTGCGTGCCAACGGTGCCGCCGCCCGGCCCCAGAGCCCCAGCCTGGACGAGCGCGATTTCGGGGACCTCACGGAGCTGCCCGTCGTGGTGCCGAAGAGCAGCTATGGCATGAAACATGCCGAGTCCATCATGTCCTTCCACATCGACCTGGGGCCCTCCATGCTGGGGGATGTGCTGAGCATCATGGACAAAGACGAGTGGGACCAGCAGGAAGACTTGGGTGCCATGGTAACGGAGGAGCCCTGGAGGGATGGAGGCCCGACCCGGGTACCCGCAGCCCACCAGCTCATCCGGGAAGGGAATCCGGATTCCCTACGCACAGGAACGCCACCCGTCTCCCGCAAGACAGAGCTACGGGGTCCCTGCAGATGCCGGGCACGGCCCTCCCAAGCGGCCCGACAAGGAGTTCTCCTTCGCGGATGAGGAGGACGACGAGATCCGAGTGTAGCAAGGCGAGACTGGTGTTCGTTTGCGGTAGCTTGGGCACACGAAGGAATAACCGGCAACTGACTGTGTCAGAAGAAACGCCACCCGTCTCCCGCAAGACAGAGCTACGGGGTCCCTGCAGATGCCGGGCACGGCCCTCCCAAGCGGCCCGACAAGGAGTTCTCCTTCGCGGATGAGGAGGACGACGAGATCCGAGTGTAGCAAGGCGAGACTGGTGTTCGTTTGCGGTAGCTTGGGCACACGAAGGAATAACCGGCAACTGACTGTGTCAGAAGAAATAGCACCGGGAAATACTTAACTCCTAACTCCTCTTCCTTTCCCCACAGACTGCAGACAGAGTCCCGTCTGCTCCTCGGCTGTCCCTCTGGGGACTGTGAATGAACCTGTGGAACAGGAAGATGATAAATGTTAAAGGGTTTTTCTGAGGTTGTTGCGGGAGAGGGAGGAACTTGGGTTTAAAGTCCGAGGATTACGTGTCACAGCCTCTCCCTGTACGGCTCTACGAGCCAGGGGAGAACAGCAGTCGGGAGCTGGCCCGAGGCTGCTCGCCACGCGGGAGACGGTTACTTTCCCCGAAGAAAACTCCAGCGCTTCCAGCCAGGGGGAAATTTACTATCGTTTCCATTGGACTTTGGCTACAACCGCGATTGCCTGCCCACATCAAGCGATATAGAGTTGAACTACAAGGAACAGGCTTCCAGCTCGAGGGCCCTTTGGCATCTCTAGTCTCCCCCCTGTGTTTTTATTGGGCTCTGATTTGTACTCGGCCCGCTTTGTCACTGCGGAGGAGGGGACGTTCCAGTCGGACGGAGCGTGGCTCCGGAGTGGAGAATTCTGCATATTGTGGAGCGGAGCGGGATCGGAAAGCCAGCCGGTGCCAAGCCGGCAGACGCGTTAGGTTGCCGGCGTGTCTCTGGGGAGGGCAGTAGAAGGGTTTTAAAAAAATGTTTGTATCTAATTTCCATTTTGTGTGTGTGTCCTGCTGCAGTGTCTTAAGGCCCACGGGCTCCCTGGAGCCTGTCCTAGCTGGTCCTATGTATTGGACCCCGACCTCATCCCAGATGGGCTGCTCTGGGAAAATCCCTCTTCTGGGATGCTGCAGCAGGGACATCTGCCATCCCATCCTCTCCCCACCGCCCAAAAAATGTTTGTATCTAATTTCCATTTTGTGTGTGTGTCCTGCTGCAGTGTCTTAAGGCCCACGGGCTCCCTGGAGCCTGTCCTAGCTGGTCCTATGTATTGGACCCCGACCTCATCCCAGATGGGCTGCTCTGGGAAAATCCCTCTTCTGGGATGCTGCAGCAGGGACATCTGCCATCCCATCCTCTCCCCACCGCCCAACCGGAACATCCTGGTACCCCTGCTGCTGTAGCAACAGGACCCAGGAGCTGGTGCTGGTACCAGATGTGTGGAGGGTGATGGCGGAAGGAACCTTCTGGGGCGTCCCGCTAGCCCCAGCTGTCTGGATGCACAGGGCTGGGGCAGAGATGTTGGCTGGCCCTCCAGCTGTTCTATCCCTAGGCTGGCCTCAGCCCCAAGCCCACCGTGCCTTTCCTGTGCAGCGCGGACGGATGGGATGCTGTGGCCGGGCAGTGGCGGGGTGAGACCCAGCTGCCCTCTGGGGGAAGGAGGGTAGCCCGTGATCTTGGACGTAAAGCTTAGGGGGGCCCTGCTTGGCCCCTCGCCCGGCCTGCCGTGGGGGCTGATCTCTGTGCCCGTGGGCATGATGGGCGTGGCTCCGCTTCCTGGAGGCCAGCAGGCTGGGAATGGGCAGCGGGGGAGAGAGGTAGAATCACTCTCCCTGCCCCATCTTCTCCCCAGGGTGAGGGCCCCTGTTCAGACACGCCCGAGCGGCCAGGTGCAGCCTGACCAGGGTGCGGAGTCCGTCGGCTGCAGCGATGGGCCCCTGCCCTTCCTTCCGTGCACTCGTGGGTAGCAATAAAACACTAACGGGGACCTTTTCTAACTTATTTTCTTTTTTTTCCAACTTAATTTTTGTGCTCAGTTTCCCCCTGCCCCACCAGGAGGGAGCAGCGGCTGGATATCCTGCAGCGTGCCTGCCCGGCGCGCTGGGAGCTCAGAGGATGTTGGGGGGGGGGGGATTTTATGATGTATGTAAAATGCAGAACAGAATTAAACAGTAGTGAAAGCAGAGCCTGGCTCCTGGGGGGGTCTTTGCAGTGGGGGGCTGGCGGG